CAAAACTGCTCTCCTCTCTCTCATTTACTTAACTAGATCTGCCCGCTCGCTTGGCGCATTCGAACGTTCATAAATATTATCAACGCTCGCTCTCCTCTCACATACACACGCATCTATATGGAAACGACAAGAGAGATGGAGTTGTTGGGGTGCAAAGAGATGTGTGCTCTGATATATGGACGCACCTCTCATCCCTTTCTGGGGCTGTTTGTACACGGGGGTGGCTGCTGCTGCTGCTTTGTTGCTCGAGATAAAAATGTTTAATATCGCTTAAATGACGTTTTTGGCTCAGCCACGAGGTTTTTGATTAATTCTCCCCAGGAGCAGGTCGGTGAACTTAACTTCGATATTGATTGGTGGCTTTTTTGGAAAATCTCCACGTGAGTGTTGGAGGAGTTATCAAAATTGAACATAAAAATTGCGGAAAAGCGATTTTTCACTGTTTTTTAATATTCATTTAAAATTAATTAAAAAACTAAAAATAATGCCACTCTGGAAATCAGGGATGTTGTTCTACACAATTGGGGCTAAATTTTCTCCTATACTGCAAAAAATTTCTGAGGGGTGCATCTTTGCGAAAATTGCGTCAGAAAGTTTGCTGAATTTATTTAGTGTTTACTGATGAATTTAGCGGTGATTCACGTTTTAAGTTGTGGCCATATTTGATTACCGATATTTTTTTTAAACTAGGTGGATTGTTGAAATTAATTGTGGTGATGCACTTTTAAATTCTGAAAATTTACCCACTGGGTGTTGATAATTTAATGCTAATTTACACAGAAATTCTCTCACTCTCTCGGGAAAGCTCTGTTTTCCTGCGATAAAGCAACACAAAGCGATTTTCCTTGTATACATTATGGGTCTTGACCATATGTATTCGCTTTCCCCGCACCTGCAAATATTCGTGGTAATTAAAGAGCCGTTTGTGCCGTTCGAAATTAATAATAAGCAAAATGCCCCCCAAACAAAAAGCCGGCCGGCAAATGAAGCGGCTTAAAACGGACCGTTCTTTTATGCGGCTTAAATTTCTGCCTCCCGAACAATAATAACAAGCAAAGGAGCTCTCGCACAATTTCCATATATGCCCACGTGTGCGTATATTTATTAACGAATACACTCTGCTCTTTCTCGTTCTCTCCGAATTGATAATTAATTTAATTTGCTACTTGTTTGTATTTAAATACGCCGCTCCCTGTGCCAAAGATAATAAGCCTCACAGGCTTTTCCTTTATTTCCTCCACTGCGCTTTTCGAAACGAAAATAAAATAACAAAGCGTGCGCGAGCGCGCGTGTGTGGCATCGGGACTCTTTCTCTCGTTTATTTAGTATGTGTACAATTTGTGCGAGGCTCTGATGTTTGCTCTGCTCAAGCGGAAATAATAAATTAATGAGCCTGAGGAATCGAGACGGAACAGAAGTTATAGCTTTGAATTGATTCAATGCCAGATTTTCAAAGGGAGGGCTGGTCAGTTCATTAAAATTATTGTGGAAAACAGTTTGATGAAAATTGGTAAATAGATATCAAGGTTGGAAATTTTTAAATTCAATAATTGGAAAGGTTTTTTTTTATAAGTATCATTATTTTATTATTATAGAAAATAAAAAGCACTTAAGACCTGCTTAAACTTAAATAAAACGAATATTTTATAATTATATAATTTTAATATTTTAATGCATTAAAATTACAATATTAAATAATTTTATTTTATAATATAAAATATTAAAAATTTATTGCTAAATTTATTATTTTACTTCTGCAACTTTTTCAAAACAAAGTTGCAGAATTTAGGTATTTTGGGGGAGTATCAAAACAGACCCTCATTGAAAATTATTGGTTTTGATCATTTTTTTGTTTTTGTTTTCAAATTGAAATTCTCTAAAATTATAGCAAATATTAAGCCACTGGACTGGACGCTCAAATCTTGAATAATCTCAATCTCCAATTACCTTTTTCGCAAGTTATTGGGAGGAACGTTTCGTCTCCCTCTCCTCTTTTATACAAAAGGACAAAGATTTTGATCAGGAGAGAAAACAATTTCCGATTTAATCACAATAAAGAGCGAAGTTTTCGCTGTTGATGTTTATTCGATCCGATTCGGTAATGAGACAGGGGTGGAAATACAATCACACTCTATATCCCTTCAACAACTTTTTTTTTAAATTTAATTACCCCATTTGAAAAGTGCCGATTCCGCTCCAAATTTATATTCACTCGACATTAGGCATTCATTTTTTTTCCTTTCATCGAAGCAGCAATACGACTTTAGTGCCTTTTGTCCTTTTTGTTCTGTTTGACAAACAACTTACTTACGTTTAATACCGGAGACCTTTTACCGAAATAAGCCGGCCGTTGCTTTACGGCTGTGTTGCTTATGCTCCCCTTTGGCCCCTTTCGGTCCAATCATCTTAAAAGTTATAATAATATCTATCCATTGTCCTTTGCTGCGCGCGGAACGATTTCGTGTCCCGCCGAAAAGCAATATCGAGAAGACGCAGAAAATAAAAATGTATCAAAGCTGCCAAAACGGGTACAGAAAGAGAGAGGTCAACCGACAGATTTATTATTTGATTTGATGCTGCTTATCCGAAGACCTCTTGCTCTCGCCAATTGACTCGCTCCTTAGGGGAAGAGATTAGGAGGGCCAGTTGTCTGCCCTTTGCTTTGTTTCACGCGGGATTGAGGAGATGTGTTTATGTTGCAACAAAACACACGGCACAGTAGAGAGGATGAAAGGCAGTCTCTTTGTGAGAAAGCGGAGATACTCGGAGGGGTCGGAAGGTAATTGAAACCCAGTTCGTTTGGGTTTGGATAAAAAAAAATGAAAATGTGTTTAGCGATGAAATTCAAAATAAAATTTTGGCATTTGTAGGGAAAATATTCAAAAAAATTTAAATTATTTTATTGATAGAAAAAATACGAGGACAATATTAATGGCCAAATCAATAGTTAAAATATTAATTGAGCGTAAAAATGTAGATTTTATATTAAATTTTATTTATTGATATTTAGGTTAAATGAGATAAATGTGTTAAACGGAACTAAGGATTTTCAAGGATTTTCTCTCTTTTGTGTGCAAATCACATTTCTGCATCATATTTTCCCATCAGATCTGTTGTCTATGTCAACATTATTCCCTTATTAAAAAAAAAATATTTAATAACTGCAGAAAGTTTATGCCTTAACAAACTGAACAATTACATTAATTTGTTGGGATTAAATCAACATCAAACTAGGGCGTACATATTAAAATACATTCAATTATTTTTTAATTAACTTTATTATGTTTTTATTTTCAAATAAATTTCCAATATTACTTTTTAATTGACCTCGATTTATTAATTTATTTCAAGCAAAAGTCGCAGAATGAAATTGAGCTTATTTGCGAATGTAGTACCACCGAGAAGCAGGTTGATTTTTTTCGCAGTTGGATATCTCGTGACGAAAACAAGCATCCGCAAAAAGAGTCCTCTCTTTTGCTCATTCATGAGCTGCAAAAGTGTGTGTGTACTGCAGCCGGAGTAGTAGTTATCCTGATGAGCAAGGCAGGCAGGGCACATTAATAAAATAACGACGACTCCGCCTTATTTACCGGCCTTTATTTGAATAAAACGCTCCGATGTAGGTACTGCTTGTTGTTGTCCCCGAACAAAATGCCACACAGCTTCTTCTTCTTCCCGTGTCTTCGCCAGCAGGCAGTAATAATGCTAAATAGATGCACATAATTGCTCGCTCGTCGTTTGAATTGGAAAAAGCGAGCGAGCAGTTTTTCAATCTGGTTGCTCGTTGCAAAAAGTAAAAAAAACCGAAGGAATATAATCGAATCGAAAAATAAAAGAGCGGCTTTCTCATGCACCGCGCGGCCAATTTATTCATTGCTTTTATTATTCCCGTGTACACTTATATACTTTTTCGTGACAACTCCCAATCCGCATTATTATATACTTATAAAAAAGAGTAGCAGGCGAAAACACACACAAACAGCAGACCTACCCGATTTATAATTTATTTACGAGAGGGAGAGAGACGATTGGACCGAAAACAAGAGGATTTTATTAACCGCACGGAGAGTCACTTGATGCACGAACTTTTTGCGCAAATCGGCACGCTCGTTCATTCAGAAAATAAAAATGCCTGCAGCCCTTTGTTGTTATTGATTTACTGCGGATTGTTTTTCCTTATTGAGACGAATAAAAATTTGCATAAATATGATAGTTGAGAGCGTATTTATTGGTGTTTAGAGAAGGAGTGGAGAAAATGCTCATTAATGAGATGCAAAAGAGTTTCTAAATTTTATTTTGTTGAGTATTTTTATGCAAGACAAAAATATCTTATTTTTATTGATGTTAAATTAAATATTTTTATTTAAAAAAGAAGACACCGTCCTCTTAATTAAGAATCTCTTTTTTTTTGCTCAAAATTATTAGATTCAGAAATATAATTGCAAATTGCAACACCAGGTGTCTAAAGTAAAGCTTTACTAACTTATTTTATAGGCATTACAGGTCAAGGTCTATGTTTTTAGTGCAACAATATTTTTGAAGATTAAAATATAAAAATTCTGAATTTTAAAAATTCAGCTACGGATAATATTACAGTAAATTAGGTTCAAAAGAATAGTTAGTTAAAATTTACTTACTTCTTATCTTAGTCTGATCAAGTCTTTACTGCAGTAAAATATATTTTTTGGAAATTTATTTTTTTAAATTTTAACCACCATTTTTTAAGACTTGATGTGACCATTTAAAAATTCAATTTAAAATTGCATTAACATTAATATACAGGGATGTATTATTACTGCGTTAATTTGTCCCAATTTTTATCATCAAGAGGACAAAAATACTTGTGCAATACAGAAAATAATTTTCTTTTGCCTTTTATTTATTATTTAAATAAATAAATGCTATTTTTAGAATATTGATGCCAGAGATTATCTAGTTTTTTTTAAATTAATCTTGCCATCATTCTTGCAGTGCATTAAAAAGTTCTTGTTTTGTTCCAGACTGGGGAAGTCGGTCGTGCCATCGTCAACAAGCAAGGTAGGAAAATTTGAGAAACTTCTCGTCTCCTTCTTATTTACAATATAAACCCCTGAAAGTAGTCTGGGCATTATCGCAGAAAGTTGCTCCCGGGCCGAGAGTGGCAATAACAATAAAAAAACTAGCTCTCTGCCCTAATACCGAGTAAAAAAGTTTCGGTGCCGCGCGCTTTTTGTTTGGCAAATACCTGAACTGCATCTCTAATGGAGTAGATTTGGAGGCAGAGCAGAGGGCCCTGTTTAGGTGAGATGCAGCTTCCGAGCGAGCGGCCCTTTCTTTGTTCGCCCCCCGCTATTGATTCGGCTCATTCAGCGCCAGCCAGCCAGCCGGCAGCAACACCTCGCCGGAGCTAAAGAGCGGCGTCGAGTGAGTGCTGCTGCCGCACACGTGATTTCGAGTGGCTGAGCTGGAAATTGGGGCGCCGCGCGCGAGAGAGAAAGAAAAAGCACAAGCGAGAATGCCACGCACCGCGACCGAATTTGAGCTAATTTTGATCGATAATCGCCAATATATAAAATAAAACATTAAAAAATATTGACTAGTTGGATGAAAATTTAAAAACTGCATGAAAGATTTGGCTTCGTCGCCTGGTTTAAAATTAGATTCTTTCAATGTTTATTTCTATACAAAAATTATTAAAATAATTAATTAATAAAACTTCGAATACTGAGAAGAAAAATTTAAAAATTTCCATAAAAGAATCAGATGTTGGTTGGCCTAGTAATTTGATAGACTCATACAATTCCAAAAATTATTTAATGCTCTAAAAATAAATGAGTTTACGCTGATTTATTTTTTTTATTTTTAGTTCTCTTCCCAGTGCATAATTTAATTTTTATTCAAATTCAAGCATTTACAAACTGGCTCATCTGACAGTTTGAGAATTAATTATAATTATATTTCCCCACATTAATTTGAACTCATTTGAGAGCTGCTGTGTTTGTAGGCACAATAATCAGGTTAGATTATGCACTCGTGTAATTTACTTACTTAAGCAAGAAGTGCAGGTTTATCCAAATCCACAGTGATTATTGATGCAAATCAAGAATTCCCCCTGCGCGAGAGTGAGCAGCGGAAGAACACGATCGCAGCCATTAACGGCATCTCGTCGCTCATAAATCGTGCGCTTAACTTAATGAGCTGCACGAGAATCGCGGCGGAATAAAGAAAAAAGAAGAAATGCCCGACCACGAAAGGCACGGAATTAAATCCGGCGTCTGTCATCACTTTTCCGTGCGTCCGTATTATTTTCCGCCGCTTATCAGCGCCAATAAAATAGGGTAAATATAGGAAATTATATTTCGGGCAATAAACCGGTTTTATTGCGATAAAGAGGACGGACGCCCATGCATGACCCGCTCATTAATTCACTAATAAAAAATTAGGTATTCTAATAAATACACAGGAAAATAATAATGCCGTCGCCGCCACCATGTGTGTATATCGCGTGTTTTTATTATTAATATAATTATGACAAAGCGCGGCCTTAATGCGGCCTATATCTTATCGCGCCGAGGGGAAAATATATTAAAAAGCAATGAATACGTTACATTATCGCTGGGAAAAACACTTTTCGATCTCAATAGTATATTTTTTCGCTCGGTCGCAACCTGTATGTTAATTAATCGGAGAAGGCAAAAACGAGAATGGAGTAATTTAACTGTTGTATTTCGATAGGCTTTATCGGCCGAGCGCATTTATTTCTTCTGCTTACCTGCTGCTGATAGACAGGTCGCCTATTTTCGGAGTAAATAGGCAGTGTGCGTGACGTGTCGGTCCGCCGGGTTGCATAACCTCGAACGCCACCGGGCGCTTTTTCTCTAGGATTTTTATTCAGGAATAAGAGATTGCCTCAACAAGTTTTTATCCAAATTGCTTCAAATTATTTCAAGGATAATTCTGAAATTATGTAATCAAAAAGCGAATAGCGTTTTCCGTTTTAAGTCTAATTAAGTTCATTTAAATTTTTACAAATTTAAAGCTGAAATAGCTAGTTTTTTTTTAAACAAAATTAAATTCTAAAATGAATTTTCAATTCAAATATTTCTAGTAATTGTAATTTTATCACAAATCTAAAGACAATTTGGATAAAAAAAAAACATCTTCTAAAATCGTGCATTTGGTGCTGCAAAAGTTCTTGATTGGTGACTTGTCGATTTGAACCACAGATAAGTGCAAATTTGCCAAATTGATCGTTCTCCAATCTTTGACAATAAGAGAAGACGCCGCAGTTAATTTCGCCAACAGTCTGATTTGCATCCGCCCCTAGCTCGAGCTACAACAAAAGGGCCAAAGGGCGCCGCCGTCGGCCGCATTTCTCTCTGTTTCTTGGGGTCCAGACCGAGCAGCGAGCGAGTGCACCGACCGAAGGGGTTGATGTGTGAGGCTCCCACCCCGACGGCCGCGTTCGCCATGCAGCCACCCACCCGGTCACCCACCCACCCACCCCCACCTTTGGGAAGGCGGTGCCGACGCGAGCGCCAATCGCGTCCCAAGGAGCCGACCTCTCCATTGGACGTGGATGCTGCACGCCGCCTGCCTGCTATTTATAATGCAACACTGATGAATGATTTTTCGCTCGCTTTCGCCAGCATGTACACTCACTTTGCACTGCTAGCTGCGCTCGGCGGAAGGAAGCAGCACCACCCCGATCGCTTTTTAATTTCAAAAATTTGCTCTTCCGTTTCGTTGCTGGAAAAATTTAACGTCCACGATTATGAGAATGAAAACTCTTTACGTTTCCTTTTTTTAAGAGTGCCATTATCTTTGCCCGAGGTTTGACTGGTGACCTCTCATTAAATCTATTTCCTGCTAGATTTAGTTCATATTTTATGGGTTTTTTTTTTGCATAAAATTTTTTTTTTTTTTTAACGTTCAGATGTAGCCAAAACCACAACGATTGCGCCTCTCATTCCAATAATGAATTTTAATTATGGAAGAAACTGGGTCAAGATTGGTTTGAACCACTTTTAAAAATGAAATATCTGATTTAACTTCATTCCCAATTTACCATTTTTGGCCTGCCTTTTTCCAAATATGATTAGAAAATGTTATTATCAATAACTTTTTTTGAATTTTATAAAAATCTCAACAACAATCAGCGCTTGGAGCATCACAACAATCTGAACAAATCTCAATTGTTTTGTTGGAAGCAAGGATAAAAACGACAGTAAAATCATGTTTCATTGTTGTGATTTTTTACTTTCAAAATCAGACTCAAGCCAAACTTTATTCTTCATCAATATGAGATTTATTTCATAATCTACCTGTTATTTTTTCACATCTTGAAAGCTAGTTTTGATTTAAAGTCTCCAATTTAGTGAGGTCAATTATATTGTTGCTCATGGTAGGATGAATTATTGAATCATTTTGCATTTTTTACCAAGTTTTCTGTGACCTTTCTCAAAAGTGGTTACTATTCACAAGCAAGTTAAGATTTCTAAATTTTCTTTCATTTCATCAATAAATATTAGTATACACAAAATAAAAACAAATTATTACTACAATAATAATTAATTTAGAAAAACTAAATCAAATTTTTAAATAAATTTTATTAAATATATGATTGAATTAAATTTGAATTATATTTTATTTTTAATTGATATTATATAAAATTTATGTTAATATTTATTTTTATAATTGATTTTTTTAAACTTGGGTATGAATTTTAATTTTAAATATTAACAAACACACATTTTGACATTGCAATTGGGGTTTAAAATTTAATTATAATTTATACAGTTTATCATTCTATGCTAAACGTTTGGCCAAATGAAAACTGCTCGTTTTTCTTCTATTTTTAAAAGTCTGATAATTCAGTTGTTAATTCATGCGACTTTATAGTTGATTGAATATTAAATTGAAGAAAACTCATTTCATTGAAGAAAAATTATGTCACTCCATTTGAAATAAGTTTTTGAGTATTTCTCCTCTCTTTGACAAATAACTTAAGCATCATCCAATTCCTGATTAATTGCAGGGAAGAAAAGAGCCAACGAAGCACGTTTCTTTCTTTTCTCTCCGTCTCTTTGCTTAGCAAATTTGTCTCCTCTCGCATTACCGCCGATCGCACCTTGGGACCTCCTCGGCAAGATCCGACCACGGGCAATTTTTCTCCGGCACACCCGATCGAAGGCAAAACCCTCGGTGTAATTTGTTTAAAAATAACCGTTCTATCTTCGTTGCTTTTTTATCCTGATCTGCGTGATAGCCGCAGATTTGTCCTCTTTTAAGCCAGTGTTACGTCTCCAGATCCTCTGGCTGGCTTTCTGTCGTTATTTTTCTCCTCTCCGCATATATACGGATTGGGAGGCTTTGCCTCTGAAATGCACCAGGGGATGTGTAAATTATTGTTGAGATAGAGCGTGGTGGAGAGGAAGCGAGTTTATTTTAAGTCTTATATAAGGAAGAAGGTGTGCAGAGACGGTGACACTTGATATTTCACCGGCGAAATAAAAGAAAAACGCTGCAAATGAGACGTGGAGCGAGCTGGGAACATCGCATGAATCAAGCCGAGGAACAGGCGAAATCTGTTCCTGAATTACCCAGGGGAGGCTAAATTTTGGACGGAGCACGGCTGATTAAAGAGAGGAGAACTAAATAACAGGTGATTCAGATAAATTTGCCGAAGTGAATTTTATTTTTAAGAGTTTTGAACAATTCCATTTTTTTTTAACAACTCTCGACCCTGCTCTAATTTGGCGAGAGATATTCTCTTTAGTCCGTCTCTCTCTTTTCTAAAACTCACTCGGTCTTATATTTGGAAATCGATATTAGTAATATGGAAAGAGAGAGAGACGCGTCGAGGGGCTGCTGCGCGAAAGAGCTAGGGTGCGACGGGGAGAGGGTCGGAATCCTTTATCATCAGCTGACATTCGCTCAATTCCGGCACATACGCACCCTGTTAACACACTGAGCTGCGAAAAAATGTAAATGTGGATCAAGGTGTGAGTGATTTGACAGCCAAAAATTAAACATTTTACTCAAAAGTATACCAGAAT